TTCCTAATTAAATGACACTATCAGTGATCTCAGGTGGTAAAGTTCCTAATTAAATGACACTATCAGTGATCTCAGGTGGTAAAGTTCCTAATTAAATGACACTATCAGTGATCTCAGGTGGTAAAGTTCCTAATTAAATGACACTAGTAGTGATCTCAAGTGGTAAAGCTCCTAATTAAATGACACTATCAGTGATCCTAGGTGGTAGAGTTCAGGTAAAATACTAACTGTTATATTAACATACTTTATTTGAGGTTTAGGATTATCTTATCCACATTTTTCTTTAAATCGTCTTTAGGTCCAGGTCTGGCGTTTATTGCCTATCCTAAAGCTGTTACGGAGATGCCGTTGTCACCTGTTTGGGCTATTTTGTTCTTCTTCATGGTCCTCATTCTTGGCCTGGATAGTCAGGTAGGACTTGACCTAAATAACGATTATAGTAAATGTAATCCCAGTAGCATGTTGACTAATGTGTTAAGATGGTCGTGGTGAGTGTGTGTGTGTGAAGATTTTATTAGCACAAATGGAGCTTAATGCTGGGTTTTGCTAGCTATATAATATATTAGGTTTGATGTTAAGGTCATCTGGTTGAAATAGTACAGATGGATTTTATAAGCTGCAGATGGACTAGGTTAAACATTTTTGTTTTAGTTACAATAGATTATTTTAGGCTTAGAATTAGGTGTTTAGTAGGAAGGAGTTAAAGACATGGCTCATGTGACTGATCTAAGTTGAAACGCAAGTTAAGTGTTATTACAGTTAAAAATGAGTTAATAACATCTACATTTGAGTTAGATGTTGTTAGAACACCTTTACTCATATTATCAATACGTTCAGATATGTAGGAGCGTGAAAGATTAAATATAAAGTTAAGCTTAACTTAAAATGTTTTGTGTTTGAGCTCATTTTAATTTTCAACGACAAAATCGATAATAAATGTTTAAAAGTTTTTCTTAGTTTAAATGTTTGAAGTTTAATAACTAGAAATAATTAAGCTCACCTTGACTTTAGACAAATATAAGAACCAAAAAAATTATAAACATTTCCAATCTTAGAAAACATGAATAAACGAAAGTATAAGTACTGGTTCAACAAAAAAAAAGTTATGTCCATGGTTTATTACAAACATGAACGAATGATTACTTTAAAATACCTTAAATTCATACATGATGATATCTTTATTGACAAAACCATAGTCGTAATGAATGAAATATTTGTGAAACGTACAGTTGTCTTTGTTGTCCTTTATTTACCGTTTTTTTTCGGTTTACAGTTTGTAGGTATAGAAGGATTCATAACTGCTGTGGTGGACCTGTTCCCCCATATCCTCAGAAAGGGCTATAGAAGAGAATATTTCATTGCACTTGTTTGTTCAGTATCGTTTCTTCTTGGGTTGGCGCTGGTTTCAGAAGTGAGAACAATTTCTGTATTATCTACAAGAGATATAAACAACAATGGTAAATAAACCATTGTGATATACCTTAACAATGTATGAAACCACGTGTCTCTTATTCATTTTAATATTATTATGAAGCACTCCTTGAAAATGTTCTTATTCATCATATTTAAACACAATCACCTGTTTATAAACCTACTTCTTGGTGCGAGCTTATCCTTGAGTAATCATGAATATTTCTAATCAAAGAACTGGAAAAATTAAACGAAGTAGTCAAGTTATAGTTCATTAATTTTATTTTCCAAAATTGTTTTTGAACTGGAATATTTGTCCACAGTACTGGAAAATAATATTAGAAACAAGGAATACAGGAGAAATAAAAATGTATTTAATAATGATTCTAAACATAATCTTTAGTTTACCTATCCAGCTGATGGACTACTTCATTATTTATGTGTAGGGTAGAGTGTACCTATTCAACTGATTGACTACTTCATTATTTATGTGTAGGGTAGAGTGTACCTATCCAGCTGATGGACTACTTCATTATTTATGTGTAGGGTAGAGTGTACCTATCCAGCTGATGGACTACTTCATTATTTATGTGTAGGGTGGAATGTACGTAATCCAACTGATGGTCTACTTAATTATTTATGTGTAGGGTGGAATGTACCTATATCATCTGATGGTCTACTTAATTATTTATATGTAGGGTGGAATGTACGTATTCCAACTAATGGACTACTACAGCGCTAGTGGGATGACTCTTCTGTGGTTCTGCTGTTTTGAAAGTATTGCAGTTGCCTGGATTTTTGGTAAGTATCAGTGGCTAATCTAGAGTTAATACAGTTGTAGATGGTAACGTACATCTACGGTAAGTAGTACATGTATTAGGTGATCATATAGAAGTAATGTTGTAATGTGGACGTAATGTAATTAGTATATATGGCTCGTGGTAATATGGTAAATAATACTTCAGATTGGTAGTAACTGTCAACGTGGTAATATGGTAAATAATACTTCAGATTGGTAGTAACTGTCAACGTGGTAATATGGTAAATAATACTTCAGATTGGTAGTAACTGTCAACGTAGTAATGTTGTAAATAATACTTGAGATTGGTAGTAACCGTCAACGTGGTAATATTGTAAATAATACTTTAGATTAGTAGTAACTGTCAACGTGGTAATATTGTAAATAATACTTCAGATTGGTAGTAACTGTCAACGTGGTAATGTTGTAAATAATACTTCAGATTGGTAGTAACTATCAACGTGGTAATATGGTAAATAATACTTCAGATTGGTAGTAACTGTTAACGTGGTAATGTTGTAAATAATACTTCAGATTGGTAGTAACTGTCAACGTGGTAATGTTGTAAATAATACTTCAGATTGGTAGTAACTGTCAACGTGGTAATATGGAGAAGAAAGTTTGTATAGTAAGTATTTGATGTTTTTTGTAGAGAATAGGTTTTATATGTGGTTTTCCACGTAATGGATCGCTAATAAACGTTAGAGTTAAGAAATGTTTGTAAAATATGGTAGGTTGCAGCCGACAGTCAATCTTCCATACGATATAAAATGTGAAAAACTTAGGTTACAAGTTGAAAATAATGACACGTATGTTACAAAATAGTCCTAACTAATTGTATAAAACTTATTTAAATAGGTTTTAGTTTTTTAAATAATAACTATTCAAGCATATAACTAATCAATTTGATAAGACTTGCTAAGTTGCAATAAAGAAATACTGAAGCCTATTTAAACCTTTAGTGATATCATTCATTAAACACAAGCCCAAGTCATGAATATGTCTTAAAAATTAACGGAAAGTGCATTACACTTTAACTGTCGTTAACGAAATATAATAGCGGTCTAGGTACTACCTATGTATATAATACTGGTCTGGGCACTACCTACACACATATACATGTATGTATATACATA